AATGGCATTGCTCACAGGTCCCAGACATGGCAACACAGGCAAAGACTCCAATAAAAAAATATTCTGCCAATTAATACAATTCATAGATGAAATGCAGAATAAAAATATTGATGTAATGAAATCTGAGAGAGCAGAAGATGCTTAAGGAACAGAACAGTGTGTTAAACAAACCTACAGTACAATTTGGTAGGCCCAAATACAGTCCAGTAGGCCCAAATACCTTGTTGGACATCATATCTCCAGTTGCTTTACTGAGGATCAACTAGTTCCTATGGCAGATGGGAAGTACACCTTCTGTGGATCTGAATGGGTCCTTTTGTTTCCATTAATTGTGTAGTTGATTTCCTAGTCTTTGCATCCCGGCTCTTAGTGTATTTTTAGTAAACATAGGAAAACCATCACAAGCAGGATGTAAAGTTCATTTGCAAGGAGGAATAAACTCTCATCTAATTTTCTCCATATTGTGCTTCAACCAGTGGGAGACACTTGCCAACCTCTCTGGGAAATGGCTTTTTGGTCACATTCTCTGACACCAGGAAAATTATTAATCTCTTTCTGCAACAGCAAACAGAAGCAAACACTGAGATTCAGGCTCTTATCCTGCCTGCAAGTCCTTTTAATCCAGAGACTTAGACACTTCTATATTTGAATGGCATTCAGCAACAGATACATCTACAAAAGCTGTGGGGAAAGGATTAGATCGGAGATCACTAATTCCTGCTGACAAGTGATCTGGCCACAGGAAATTCTCATCAGCCTAAAAGCACAGACAGACAGCAGTTTTAGACAGATTTACGCAAACAGCCCTTCTGGGCTTCAGTAATTAGAAGGGCCATGGGCAGCGTATGTGCTGGATAAGTCAGTTTGAGAACTGACTACACCTTAGCCTGGCAAAGACAAACTAGCAATAAATCACCCAAAGGAAAATTCCCACCCAGCAAGCTGTCCTCAGTGAAGCCGGCTTCAATTTGGAAGGCAGGAGAGTCTATTTATGCTGGTTGTAATTACTGTTTATAAGGAGCAACTTCTGGCTTCACAGCCTCACAAAACAATGGGAGGGAGGAAGATGTATAGCGTAGGTGCTTGTGATTTCACTGACAAGGTGCTCAGAAGACTACTTTGTGATATTTCAGCTGAGTAGGTATACAGTGATCACTTCAGCCACCTCTGATGCACAGCTAGCTCCGGAGTGGAATGGAGATACTGACCTGTGCCAGAAATGCTACTCATGTTAAGTACAGGAAGTGACTGAGGGGCCAGTCTTATTTAGCCTTCCCAAGCCTAAGTGGCATATATGTAACCATATAACTATAGTATTTGGCGCACACAAAGGGGAATAGAATTGCTGCATATATGGTAACCCTCCCATCCACATTAGGGAAAAGAATTGCCTTGGGTATGGCAACCTTCCCCTCCCATAGTCAAGTGGTTAGGGCACTTGCCCACAGAGTTGGAGACCTGAGTTGTAATGTGCCTGCAGAGGTTTGAAGCTACATCTGCATCCCAGAGAAGTGGTCAAACTACCAGGCTATGGCCTAGGCACTACCCCATGTAATCTCCAACCCTCCTCTTAAAAAGCTGGGGAGCCACAAGAGGAAGATAGGTGAGGAAATGAAAGAACAAGAGGGTCTGTGGCCCACCAAGGTGAATGCTGCCGTGCAAGAGAGAGGATCCTTAGACTAGCGTGAACTCCAGCTCCCCATGGGACAGAAACTTCCCCAATGAATTTTAAATACTAGGTACAACAGACCTGAAAAGGGGGCCTGGCTAATGTCTAACTAATCTGTGGCCTGATGATTAAAGCGCTGTGCTCAAAAGCAGATGTAGTTTCAAACCCCACCAGGTGAAGAAGACCTAGAACCTGTATTTCCTCATCTCCAAAAAAGTGTTCTAAACACTATGCTTCTAACTTAAAAGATGGGACGATCCCCCACTTATGTTCCCCCCCCCTCCCAATTAGGCTCTTTGTTCCTTATAAGTGACTGACACAGGCTTATTTCACCCCTGGTGGAGAGCAGGCCTATTGAGCATGTTCAGCAAATTAGCACAGGCAATGCTTAATCCCAAACTGTGCATAATGCCAAAAGCTGCAGTTACACAGCTGCCAGCCCATCATTTACGTGCATGGAGAATTGACCCTGGCCCCGACTTAGCTGAAATTTCAGGAGAAATTAAGCTGGGCAAAACCTAACTGCCCAAGTTGAAATGTAGTGAGGACAACAACAGGGCTGGTGTGATGCTCAATGAGAAAACTCCCCTTCTGGGGCAGGTTTAGGTTATGACTCTGGAAGACAGTGCTTGAGCATCACAGCACCTCTGGGCCACTCTGCAGGACTGGATTCAGAATGGATCAGTAAAACCACTTCCTGCAGCACCTTAGCCTACTCTGAGGATCTCCCAATCATCTAGAGACCTATTAATGACCGGTACCAAGGCCTACATATCCTATAAGCATTTCTGAAAAAAATCCAGATGAGCCAATGTTACTAGTTATGCTGTTAAATTGTAATTGGAGTGTTTCTGCTAATGAAAATCATTAAAAATGTCACTTGGGAAGAGAAAGTATAAGGGACAGAGTTTGCATCTCTGAATTGCTATCCATCTGTTAGATTTCATACCATACCTGTCACCATGGTGATACTTAAGTAACAAAGGTACATTCACAAGTAAACAATTCTGCCTGTGCCTGAGTAAAATCCTTTGGGGACGGTGCTATAAGAAGAGTTGTTTACACAGCAACCTAAAAATCTTCTGTTCTGTTTCAAGATCCCACCACTTCCCCTGCTGTATGTCTTCAAAAAAGCTCTGGGAAAAAAAAGTCTTCTGTGATATGGCAGTGGAAAGCTGAAGTCCACCAGATATAGCTCAAAAGTACCTTTGCCAAAGCCTTTGGCCACTATAAAGTTTTCCAAGTCTTAACTATTTGAGTCCTGGAGCAGGATCATGCTTTCCTATTGCTCTAGGATACCAAGGAGACTGACGTCACTGAACAATTAACTGACTTCAGGTCTGGGCACTGTTTCTGTATCCAGAGATGGCTGGGATCAGAGCCTCTTATCAACCCTACTTCAACTCCAGTGCACTGTAGAGACACAAGCTGGCTCACTCCAATACCAATAGCAGTGTAGCTACAGTAGTGTGGAGCTCAGCGCAGGCTAATTTAGAACTGAAGAAGCTGTGTAAATTGGCCACACCAGGCTCAGAGCTCCTATCTAAGCTCACAGGTCTCCTCGGTGGCAGCAGCGGTGGCAGTCCCTTGATACGAGGATGACAGTCTTCCAGTAAACAGGGAAGTCTTAGGTGAGTCTGTAGATCACTGAGGAGGCTGATCCAGGATTTGCACGTGGGATTGCAGACGTGGCAAATAGGTCCAGGAAGAAAGCGGGTTCCACATCCTGGTAATGTCGAGTCATAGTTCTTTCCCTTTGCGTTTCTCGTCTGCCCACCTCCATAGCAAGACAAGCTTACTCAAAACAAGTGATGCCTTGTCATGCATCCAGCTAGCTTGGGTGTCCCTGCACGGTGCTCCTGTGACCGCAGCAGACCGGAGCAATTTTTTCATGTGTCGATGACCTGGAACTGCTTCAATCTGGTGACAAAAACCCCCTGTAAATGTCACGCTCCCACCTGTACATCCTTGAGGGCCAGGAACCATGTCACCGCATAGTCCTATTAGAAAGTGGCCCACCTGCTTTTGGCAGCCACCAAACGATGAACGTGCGCCTCCTGCACGAGCCTGCTTTCCTCCACGACCTTCAGGGCCCCACAAATCCCTCCCTGGTTGGGTCAGCATATTTAGCATGCTGCCGCCAGGCACGTGGACACCAAGCAGTGAGGCTGATGTGTTTCTCTAGCATAGCTTTTCTCTCTCTTTCCGACATGGGCTGCCTGAGGGACAAGGCACAAGCCTTCAGGCCAGGCAGGCAGCCTAGGCAGTGAATTGGTACCAGGGTTAGGCCAGCAGGGCAGGGCGCCCAGGGGCCAGACACAGGCCAGAAAAGGGTAGCAAGAAAGCAGGTTGCTCTGGAGAGAGCGGTGGTGACAGGCATTCAAGCGACTGCGGGAGACCGCCCCAGACTAGGAGCTCGTGGGGACGGGGAAGCCAATGGGCACCGAGCGGGGTCTGACCCCACAGGCCCCGGGATCCCTTGGCTCCGCTTCCCTGGGCTGGGCTGGGCTGGGCTGGGCTGGGCTGGCCCGGCCCGGCCCAGCCCAGATAGCGTGTATGCGCCCTCCAACACTTCCCCACTGCGCCAGCTAGAGGACCTCCTTCCCGGGGCCTCCGAGCCCTCCCCAGCGGCCACCAGGGCGCGGTCCCCCTCCCCCCACACCTTCCGCGTGCGCCCTGACGTATCCCCACCCGGGGCCAATCGCCGGCGTCGCCTGCCGTGCGCGCTGACGTCACAAGGAGCGCTATATAAGCGGGCGGCGCCGGGCACGCCCCCCTGACACCGTCTCGAGCAGCCGCAGCGCGAGCAGCCGCCTTTTCTTCCTCGACCCGCTCGAGCCGCCCCCGACACCGTCCACCCCTGCCCGGCTCGCT